TCCTCCTCCTGTCTGCCCATCCTCCTCCTCTCTACCCATCCTCCTCTTCTCTGTCCCTCCTCCTCCTCTCTACCCATCTTCCTCCTCTCTGCCCCTCCTCCTCCTCTCTACCCATCCTCCTCCTCTCTGCCCATCCTCCTCCTCCCTGCCCATCCTCCTCCTCTCTGCCCACCCTCCTCCTCACTGCCCTTCTCCTCCTCCTCTCTACCCCTCCTCCTCTCTGCCCACCCTCCTCCTCTCTGCCCACCCTCCTCTCTGCCCATCCTCCTCCTCCTCTCTGCTCACCCTCCTCTCTGCCCACCCTCCTCTCTGCCCATCCTCCTCCTCTCTGCTCACCCTCCTCTCTGCCCCCCCTCCTCCTTTCTGCCCACCCTCCTCCTCTCTGATCTCTGCCAGGCTGCAGCTGCCTGGTGGCACCTGTCCCAAGGTGGCCGAGGTTAGGAAACTGTAGGCCACAGCTCTAGCTCACCCCTTCCCCACGCCCTTTCCTTTTTAGTCTCAGGGTCTCATGTAGTGCAGGTTGGCCTTGAACTCCTGATCCTGCTGCCCCAGACTCCCCAGTGCTTGCATAATAGGCTTACACCACCGCACCCCGTTTTGTGCGGTGCTGGGGATCAAAGCCCGGCCTGGGCGCATGCGTGGCCAGCAGTGGCCAGCTGCACTACTTAGCCGCTTTCTCTTTCTACAGTTAAAAATTATGGGGCCACGCAGTGGTGACCAGCACTCCAGAGGCAGAGGCAGGCAGATGTCTGTGTGGGCGAGGCCAGCATGGTCTAAGATTGAGTTCTAGGACAGCCAGGGCTACACGGAGAAACCCTGTTTTGAAACAAAACAAAGCAAAACACAAATCATGTGTCCACGCATTCTTTTGTGTGAGCGAGGTTATATGCGTGTGTGCGCTTGCGCGTGCCCCGTGGTGGTGTGACCTTAGGTGTTGGCTGCCACTTCACACTCAGCCTGAGCGAGGGCCTCTGGTTGGTTGGCTGGTTGGTTTTTTAAGATCTATGTATTTATGTGTCTTGCCTGCTTGTCTGCAGGCCCGTGTGCCTGGTGCCTTCTCTCAGGTGATCGCGCCAGCCGGACGGTGGACCTCGAGGGGCGTGGATGGGGACAGGAGGTCGTGGGCATGATTCTGGAGTGCGGGGCCCACACAGGCTGGCGTGGGGGTACTCACGTTGTCGCCGGAAGGGTCATCCTCCGTCCCCGCCTGGATGCCATAGGCCAGGAAGCAGAGGATGGCTCCGATCCACAGCAGGATGGAGAAGCCCCCAAACAGCTGCCGGCAGAACTTGACCCACTCGGGGGTGGTGGGGGGCGGAGTGAGGGCGTTAGGCCCGTCCCGGGCCAGGATCTCCTGGGCTTTACTGTGCGTTAGACCCTGGAAGACACGGGCTTCCTACAGAACCTGACCCTGGCGTCCTGGCCGCCCAGAGCAGAGCCAGACCCACAGGCGCCGTGGACACCTGCGTCCAGCCCTCCCCCTCAGGCCCAGCCCCGCGCCCTCCCCTGCACGCAGTGCCCCAGCCCCGCACAGCCTCACCTGCACGCAGTCCGTGTTGTACTTCCGGCAGACCTCTTCCACTGACATCTTGTGCTCTGTCTGAGGGATGGTTTGGGGGAACATGGTGAGACACCGCTCCCCGCCTGGCAGTTAAGACTATTCTGGGATGGCACTAGCGGGGGGTTGGAGGGGCGACACTCACCATAGCCACCTCCTTCTTGAGGTCATCCAGATCCCGGCGCTCCTTGGCCTTGCTCTTCTTGGGCGAGCCCTTGTCATCTTTCTTGTCCTGAGAGGTGGCGACACGGTAGCTGTCAGAGCCGCCAGACTGCGGGCGAGAAGGGGTTCCAGAGCGACACCAGCCCCGCGTGCCCCGGCTCTCTTCTTGGCCTGGCCTCTCTAGGCGGAGGTTATCATCCCCGTGTCTTCCTGGTGTCTTTGGGCATCCCCAGAATCCCCAAGACGTGTCACATCTAGTCAGCCTCACTGGGCCTCCTCCCGGGCATCTCTGGGACCCTGGGTCTCTGTCTGTCTCTCTTTCCTCGTGTCTCTGAGTCTCTCCCCTTCACCATTTTCAAAACTATATTAATTTGCTTGTTTTGTGTGTGTGCCATGGTGCGTGCCTGGAGGTCAGAGGTCAGACTGCAGGAGTCGGCTCTCCCCTGTCACTCTGTGCGTCCCGGGGAGCAAACTGTGGTCATCAGGCTTGGAGGGAAGCTGCTCTGCCCCCTGAGCCTGCTCACTGGCCTGGGAAAGCTTTATGTTGCCATTATTGTATTATTATTATAAGAAATGGAGTCTTTTTTTTTAGCCCAGGCTGTCCCAGAAATCTACCTATCGAAAACTGGAACTCACAACAATCCTCTTGCCTCAACTCCCCAAGTGCTGGGAGTATGGTCATGAACCGCCATGTCCCGTGTGTGTGTGTGTGTGTGTGTGTGTGTGTGTGTGTTCACCTTTGAACAGTCTCACAGGGGTGGGCTGGCCTTGAACTCCCTCTATGGGCAAAGCGAACTTGAATTTCTGATGCTCCGCCTCCACCTCAGCAGTGCTAGGTCTGCGCTGTCTACATAGTGCCAGTGATGGAACCCAGCACTCTGCCCACTGAGCCGCACTGCCAGCTTTCTGTGTGCCCTTCATCCCTGGCTTTGTGGCTGACTGTCCTTCCTCCTGACCTGTCTTTCCAGGCCTGTTCTGGATCTCCTATTCGCTGGCCCAGCCCTGCCTCTTCCCGCCTCTGTGTCTTCCGTAGCTCCAGGCCTCATCCTGGTTGCTTTCTCCTGTCACTGGACACTGGCTCTGTCCCTCCAGTTCCCTGCCTCTGTCCACCGCGCCGTCTGCCTCACACCTTCTCAATCTCCATCTGGGACTCTGGGGTCCTCTCGTTCCCAGGTGGCGTCCCTGAGGGGCGGTGCTGCCTGCCACCGTCACCTCTTCAGGGTGTTTGCCGAGGTCCCGACAGGTTCTGGCCTGTGTCCTGCCGCTCCTCTCTGGCTTGTCTGTCCTGCTCTCCATCTCTCTGCCAACCTCACTATCACTAGCTCTTTCTGGGGTCTTCCCTCTTCACTCCCCTCTAATGGGCACCTCACTCTGGACCGGGCTAGCTTCAAGCGCACGGTGCTCCCTCTCCTGCCCCTTGGTGCGTGGGCACCAGCGGGACGGCCAGCTCAGTGCCAGGGTGACTTCCTGTGCCGCTTATTTTGCTCTCTCCCTGCCTCTGGTACCCGCCTTTCCAGAGCAAGGTCTCCATGGAGGTCACTGCCTGTCTCCTGGCGCAGCTCTGCGGGTGACCTGTCTCCTATGCTGCCGCTGTCTGAGAGGACCCTC